GTAAAAAACAATATTAAAAGAATGTACTAGCCAGGCATGGTGGCACATGCCTGTAATCCCAGCACTCAAGAGGCTGAGGTAGGAGCGTCACTGCGAGTTGGAGGCCAGCCTGGGGCTAAGCAGACCCTATCTCAACAACAAAAAAGACAAATGCTTTGTTAGATACATGGGCCAAAGATGGGCTCTTTCCTTGATAAGCCTCCAAATCTTTAGACCCTGTTCATGATTCAAACTGATACCTCATATACTAACTTATTTATAAGCACATGAAAAGATGCTTATTTTGTTTTTTTAACAATAAAATAATATTAGTTAAGTGCTAAATAATTAATACTAAAGCCAGATTAAGATACCAGTACCTATCAGATTTTTAAAAAATGACCATACCAAGTGGTGATGTAGATGTGGAACAACTGGAACAAAATGGTACAGTCACTTTGGAAAACAGTTTAGTTTCTCAAAGAATTAAGTACCTTATAACTTGTTATTCTGCTTCTCAGTGTTACTTACACCAGGGAAATGAAAACTGCTCTCCACACAGAGTTGTTCATGAGTGTTCTTCTCTGTTTTATTTATAATAGTAAAAATCTGAAAAGAACCCAGATATTAACAGAAGAACCAATCAAAAATTACTCATCAGGGGCCGGGGATTTAGCTCAGTGGTTTCCCCACCTGCTGCGCAAGAGCAAGGACCCGAGTTTGATCCCCGGTACCAAAAAAAAAAAAAAAAAAAAATTACTCATCAACAAGGAACAGACTACTGACATACATGACCACTGATTAATCTCAAAGATATTGTGGTCAGTGAAAAGCCAGACACAACTACATGTTGTGTGGTTTCATTTATGTGAATTTCTAGAAAGGTGAAACTAGAATAACAGCAGAATTAAAGGTTATGATGGGTGGAGTTAGAGAGGGTGTTGAATTTAAAGAGGTATGAAGAAACTTGGAGATGAGTGAGGTGTTGAATATCTTGATTGTGACAACACAACTGCACACATTTATAAAAAGTCATTGAACAAAGATGGAAGTGTTAGCTCATACCTGTAATCCCAGGTAATTTGGAGGCTGAGGCAGGGAGATCACTTGAGCCCAGAGAATTTGAGATCAGCTTTGTCAACATAGTGAGATCCTGTCTCAAACACAAAATTATTGAATGCTACATTTAAAATTTGTGAATTATATGTAACTTGTCCTTCAATAAAATGGACTTTTAAAAAGTGCTCATGCCTTTTAACCCAGTAAGTGTACGTCTAAGAATTTAATATGGAAGAATTTAAAATATGTATAGTACTTGCATAAAAGTGTTCACTTCAGCATTATTTGTAATAGCTAAATATCGAAATAACCATGAATAGAATATTGTTTAAATCTATGATATATTTGTGCATGAAACCTGCTAACACATTAACAATTATATAGGAATTATGGCTTGGAAGAGTGCTTTATATTTTAAGTAAAAAGGCAGATTAAAATGTACTACACACTAGTTTTTGTTTTTCTTCTTAAATTGGCTGTTAGACTGAAAATAAACAATAACTCATTATCTTGTTGAGAATAGATGTTAAGTGGGATTTTTGTGATAGTATGTTAATCTGAAAATCTAGTACCACCATTATACTTTCTTCACAGGAAAAATGGATGAAATTATGTGGCTCTGATGTGGCTTTTATGAGAAGCTGCAAACTGTTTTCCAAAGTGGCTGTATCATTTTCTTACCACTTGTCTAGAGTGCATGAGGACCTGGGTTCTATCCCAGCACCCACCCCCACACGCATATACACAGACCAAAGTGGGGTATTTTTTATTTTAATTTGAGGTGCTGGAAATCAACCCAGGGCCTTACATATAGACCAAAGTTTGTAGGTTTCCCCCACCCCCAGCAATGTAGGCCAAGTTCACCATATCCTTTTACTATGATAGAGATTTTACCCATCCTGAGGAATATAGACCAATATATACAAAAAGCCTAAGCTGATGGTGTTTTAACTTTGGCCTTAAAAAAACTTTCCAAATTAGATTGAGACATTTGTATTTCAATTCAGAAGTATTGAAATGAGATTTCAACAAGGGCAAAGTTGCAATTAAATTTAAACATGGAATCACACAGTACATTCCCTGGGGAACATAATGAAAAGGGTCAAGGGCCGGGGATTTAGCTCAGTGGTTCTGGCACCTGCCTTGCAAGCGCAAGGTCCGGAGTTTGATCCCGGTACCAAAAAAAAAGAAAAGGGTCAGAATATCTTATCCCATCTATGGTCTGTAAGTAAAATTTTCTATCTAATTGAACAGCCCCCAGCAGGAGTTAAGGACCATTAATACTATTGAATATTCTTAGCTTGAGCCATTGAAAGAAAAGAAGGTTGAATAGGGCTTGAAAATACTTTCAATAGAGAATAAAGGACCCATGAAATTCTTTGACTAGTCTCTAAGTGTCTGGGAATTTTCATCTCATAATTAATAGAAAGAGTGGCTTAAGCAAGGAAGTATCTAAACAGGAAAAAGAACTATTAAAATAACTATATATTTTTTGAGTGTGAGTTAATTTTTTGCCGTCCGGTAGAAAAAATTTGTTAGTGGTAGCCTTCACGTATTTTAACCCATGTTTTCTATATCCTTGGAGTCTTGTCCATAGCCCTTTGGGCTAGGGGAGTGGATTAGGTTTCCAAGAGACCAAATAAAATATCCACAGATAACAATGGCTTCTGTGAGACATAAGGTATATTAAAGCTCACCAAAGAGAAGGGTTAATTGCAACTTACTAGCAAGAAAGGGTCTATAAGAAGCATAGGTCTTGGCAGCACTGGGAAAAATCCCATGGGAAGTATATACAAGGTCCACAGCCCCATCCAGCCAATTGCATGAGAAAACATACCAGTCAACATCACCTGGCAGGTTTAGTCATTGTCAGTTGGATAAATTGTTCAGCAGCTGCAGGCAGGAGTGTTTATAGATCAAACTATGTGGCAGAGACATCACTGACTCTTTTGTTCCATTATATGACTAGCATTCCAAAGAACAACTGGCTTAGCATGCACATAGCAAGGCAGCTCCTACATTAGTTTGTCCAGTTCCCATCATTCTTCAGACAACATTTACCCACACATTCCAGTTCTTGTCTGCTTAGAATTCCCCCTTGACTTGGCAAAAGTCTTAGGAACAGAAAAGGGGTGTTTCAGGGACATGCTGTCAAATGTCCTAGTTTTTCTCAAGGACAATACATTTGGAAACTTGCAGTCAAAATTATGATATTGTTGACAAGTTGTTTTGTATAAGCTTGCAATGAATTGGATTTCTATAAATAGGGTCTTTTATATTAAGCCCAGTTTATTAAACATCTTTTATGAATAAGAAATATTCCTAGTTCAGAAAGCAAGTCTTTTAACAGTTCTCATTTAAGTGATTAAAATATTCATGGGGCTGAGGGAGTAGCTCAGTTGTAGAGCTCTTGCTTAGAGTGTGCAAGCCCTACAATGGATCCCTAGTACTGGGGGAAAGGATGGGTGTGGTGGCACACATCTCTGATCCCAGCATTCCGGGAGGCTGAGGCAGGAGGATATGGCAAGTTCAAGCCCAGCCTGGGTAACCTAGCAAGACCCTGTCTTGAAATACATTTTAGGCTGCATTTTTTTTTTTTTTTTTTTGCACCTGGAATCAAACTTAGGACCAGCCAGGCACTGGCATCACTGAGCTACATCCCTGGCTTTAAAATAAATTTTTAAAAGGGCTGCAGATGTGGCTCAGTGCAAAGGTCCTGGGTTTGATCCCAGTACTGCACAAAAAATAACCCCACATAAACTCATTCATGAAATGATGGAGCAGCTTATTTATTAAAAAGGTTGTGGAAATATTACAACGGGAACTTTTGGTCTTCCTGAAAACCAGACCAATAAGAGATCTATGTTACATGTTCACTCATCTCATTAAACACACTTAATGTGCACATATAACAAAGTAAGTTTCAAATAAGGCAATTCTGAAGGAGAAATGTCGAAGAGACTGTATAGATTGGAAATAGAAAACAGAATCATAAATTACTCATGTCTTGATGACGTTTGTTTCTCCCTAACTACAACTTAATTTTAAAGTTTATTTCCAAATGACTGGTATCAAAGAGCTATATATATATATATTTGGTACCAGGGATCAAACTTGGGACCTTGTGTTTGTGAGGCAGGTGGCAGAACCACTGAGCTAAATCCCTGGCTCTCAAAGAGCTATTGAGATTGCACTCATGCTTTTTTTCCCTCTCCCTTGAATTTATCTAATACAAATATGGCTGTATTAGTCACTTTCCCATTGCTGGGACAAAATACACTATCGGATACCTGCAAATTGAAGAAGGGAGAGGTTTAAGCTCAGTTTCAGAGGGTTCAATGCATGGTTGGTTGGCTGCAAGGCACAAACATCATGCTGAAGGGGGATGGAAGAAAAAAAGTGAAAAAGTGTTCACCTTAAGGTGGCCAGAAGCAGAGAGAGAATGGAGGAACCAGGGAGAACACAACCTTCCAGGTCAAGCCCCCAGGCCCCACCTCCTAACCGCATGTTCAGCTATGAATTCCTCAGTGGACAAATCCATGGATGAATATAGCACCTCCATGATCTAATCACACTGAAAACATGAGAATTTGGTGAGACATTTTAGATCTAAACCACCAAAATGGCAGAGGCATGAACTGTTTTTCCATTCCATACAACTGCAAGTCAAGAACACTTGCTTTATGCTCCAAGAAGGAAGCTCTTTTATTGTTAGGATGGTCACATGTTCTTTTTCTTTTTCAGAAAGTGAAATATTTCCTAAATAGACTTCAGTTGTACAGGTTTCTGGTGATTTCTTTATGGTAAACCAGTTACTGATTTTATTTCTCTTTTTAGCAACTCACTTCCAGTAGTTCTTTGTTTCCCTAACTACCCATTTTTGTAGCTGATTTAATCAAAGTAAACATTTTGTGTGTGTACTTCCATGTTAATCCTACTTTCTTTTTTGCTTGCCCTGTTAGTCAAAATGTCCTCAACCTGGTGAATCTTCCATGTACGCATACTTGAAAATTTGAAAGAGAGAAAAGGTATGTATAATGCGTGATTTCCAGGGACTCTTGCTTTAGAAGCACTTCAAGCTAAACACATTAGTCATATTAACAATTGCAAACAGATGGTTTTTAAAAGGATATTAATAAAACAGTTAAAAATTGGGGAATATTTGATGGTCTAAGGGGAAAACTGCTCATTTTTTAGGCAGGATAGTGGTATTCTGGTTTTATTTTTTAAAAACACATAATTTTAGACATACATGCTGAAATATTTACAGATAAAATGATATATTTTGGGGGATTTCCTTCAAAATAATTCAGGAGAGGTGTGGTGGATTAACTAATGGTCAACTTGGACCGCCCAGCTGAGCTGGGTCAGTGTAGCTCTGGGCATGGAAGACCCACCTGAGAATTGTTGCCAGCAGCATAAAAGGAGAACTGGAGGGGAAGATGGTGTGCTGTTGATTTTCCTGGAAAAGCTTGCTGTGGTTGGTTTTCCTGATACAAACTCCACCATTCTGGTCAGAGAGCTCAGGTCCTTGCTGTCGCTGGGGATGGCTGTTGCTATTGTTAAGGGAGCTCTGGTCTTCGCCTTGAGTGTCACTTCTTGGCTCCAGTTCGGATCCCTCAGCCTGATGGCACAGATCCTTCACCCCACCAGCACAGACTTTCTGGCTTCCACCGCTGGCCTTTGGGCCTTCCCAGTGCAGACCCTCAATACAGATTCGCAGGAGACATTGCCATGGGCTCTAGGCCTCTGGCTGGACTTGTGGAGCACACTGCTTTGGGATCCAGGCCCTCGGCTGGATTCTTTGGGTCTTTAGTATGTGGAAGATCTCTTGCGCTACTCTGCATTTTGACTTTTTTGGTGAATACTATAAAATCCTATAAATTATGTGGCCCGTATTAAATCTATTCCCTTGCAAACTCTGACTATAACAAGAGGGAAAATGGATAGTGGTAGATGAAACAAGATTGGATGTGAGTTGATAATTATGGATGTTCTCATACATAGGAGTTCTTTATATTATTCGGTTTAACCTTTTAATAAGTTTGAAATTACCCATAATAAAAAGTTACAATTTTAAAGGGTTATTAATCTTACCCAAATATATTTTGAGATAAACTTTTATAAATCATTAGGAAAAAGAGAAAAATGCCAGTGAGCAAAAATATATGGAGCTGGGCTGGTAGGGCACACCTGTAGTCCCAGCTGCTCTGGAGGCTGAGACAGGAAGGTCACTTGAGCCCAGGGGTTTGAGGCCAGCTTGGACCACAAAGTGAAACATTGTCTTAAAAAACAAAAAGGAAGCCTGCCGCCCAAGCACAAGGACCCGAGTTAGATCCCTGGTAAAGGAAAAAAAAAAAAAAAAAGGATGCAATTAAGCATGGGAAGAAAACTTTAGTGACAAAGAAACATAAATTGAAGCAAAGAGAATTGTTTTAATTTGTAAAAATGACAAGATAACTTTAATGATAATGCCTATTATTGATGAGGATGATATCCATCACCTCATCCATTCACCACTGGTAGAAGTATAAATCTAGAAGATCTCACATCTCGGTTCTTGCTTTTCATCTTCCATTAGAACATTGTTTACATGCATATTTTACATGTAAGCTGACTAAATACTGGAATGTTGAAGTTCACATAACTGAGGGCTTGTCCTTTTTTTTTTTTTTTTCTGGTATCAGGAATTGAACTTCGGACCTTGGGCTTGCCAGACAGGGGTGACACCTCTGAGCTAAATACCTGGCCCATTGCCCTTTTCTGTATAACTGAAAAGATTTTGTTGATGATATGCTTTACAGTAGATATGCATAATAATGAGTTGTCTAGAGTTATTTTCAGACCTGGGTGATCCCAGATGATTGAAATAGAGTAAACACAGATCCAGCCCACAGCTATACCAAAGCCCAGTTGATGCCAGCCTATGTCAACCAAACCCCACTCAACTCAAAAGTGTGAGAGTGGAAAACAAATGTGGTTTATTCTATGTGAAGGAGAGCTTTGGTTGTATGTAGCCACTAGTTGTCTGAAGCATCTGGGCAGCCTCACCTCCTATCATTCCCTTTTGTCTTAGTTACTTTATCATCACTGGGACACAATACCTGACTCCCACAACTTAGAGGAGGAAAGGTTTATTTTAGCTCACAGTTTGTAGAGATTTAAGTCCGTAATCAGCTGGCTGCAGGGCAGGGCAGCATGGCAGAGGGGCTGGCAGAAGAGAAACAGCTCATGGCATGACCGTGGGAAACAGAGATCAAGGGAGAAAGAAAGGAGATAAACCCACGGGCCACGGGCCCAGTGACCTAAACCTTCCCACCAGCTTCACTTCCCAACATCACACTTATCTACAAACTCATCAGTGAGCTAATCCACTGATGAGTATCATGCCCCCATGATCCAATCACCTCCAAAAGTCCCACCTATGATTGCATAAGGCTTTGGGGGACATCTAGATATAGACCATCACACCTTTCTTGACGTGACTTTCTTATATCCCAGTCAAAATCTTTACTCTTTCTAGTAGCTTCCTCTTTAGTTTTGGGGCCTTAGGCCTGCTAGTCTTTCGACAGCTGAGAACTAGCAAAAGGGAGAGATTTATGTTTCATGTCTACCTTGTTTAAAAAAAAAGATTTGAAAAGAATTCATACTGGGCAAAAACCCCACATGTATGAGCAATGTGGAAAAACATTCATTTGATCCTCTTAAAGATAGGAATTCACATGAATGAGATAGCTTCTGTATGTAAGCAATAAGGAAAATCCTTCAGATGTTCAGTTTCCTTTAAAACATGAATAAAGTTGGGTGAGAATACCTTAGGTACATAAAGAAAAGCCTTAACTCATTCTACTTCTCTTTGAATACATTCTACTTGGGCTCAATACATTAAAAACACTAAACATAGAATGACAAAGCTTTCATTATATCACCTATATAAAATGCCCGAGAATGCATTGTGAAGAGGATTGGAATCACTATAGGGTATGGGAAACTTACTCATCTAGGTTTTATTTACAGATTTAAATGCATAGAGTATGTAGAGGATTCCCTTAAATGTAATACTTGTTCAAAAGACTTCAGTTGGCCCTCATGGAAGAATTAACACTGGATAAAATCCTCTGTCAAAAATATAAATTGGCAGTTACAACAAAGACTTTAAAAGAGCAGTGAAAATTCATGATCCTGTGAAATCCTATGTATGTAAATAATAAGGTATGAAGAGACTGATGAAAAGTAATTTGGGTAAAGTGAATCAGAATATACCCCATCTGAAGGAAATGTAAAAGACATACATTGTCCTTGTCAGTGGTTTATTTTATTTCATTTGTTTTTGGTACTGGGGATCATACTTGGTGTATATATATATATATATATATTTTTTTTTTTTTTTTTTTTTTTTTTTTTTTTTTTTTTGTACCAGGGACCAAACTCGGTTCCTTGTGCTTGCGAGGAGGGCGGTGGAACCACTGAGCTAAATCCCCGGCCCTCAGTGGCTTATTGTTAAAGTTCTTCTCTGGATCATAGATATTTCACTCTTGAAAACAAACATTTTCCTGAGTATTGTTTAAGAAATAGTACATGAGGTGTGTGTGGATTCCCGCCCCCCCCCGCCTGCCCCGAAGATTGAACCAAAGGTGTTCTACTCAGCTACATGTGCAATCATAACATTCAATATATTTCTCTCATATATTGATCTATGTATTTGTGTATGATTGTATATGTGAATGTATATATACTTTTGACACAGGATGTAGCTAAGTTGACCAAGCAGGCCCAAAACTTTTTTTTGCTTTTTAAATTTATTTCTTTTATTTTAATGTAATACAAGCATATATTAATAAAGAAAATATAAAACCTGAAAAAAAAAAGATTTGAGGAGGCTTGTTAAAATTGTCATCACACCAAATGAAGAAAGGATCAGTGATGGAGTGTTTGCCTAGTGTATTAGTCAGCATTCTGTTGCTGGGACAAAATACCTGATAGCCAAAATTGAAACAAGGAGAGGTTTATTTTGGCTATGGTTTCAGGGGGTTCAGTCCATAGTTAGCTGGCTCCAAGACACAAACATCTTGGCAGGGGAACATGATACAGGAAAGCTATTCCCTTCCTGAGAGAGCAAGAGAGAGGCAGAGAGGAGATCTACCCTCCAGTGACCTACTTCCTTCAACCAGGATCTACGTCCTAACTGAACGTTCAGCTATAAACTCCACTGATTAATCCATTGATTAGGTTGGTCCATATGACTTAATCACCTTCCAAAAGCCCCACCACTGAATGCAGGGGCCTTTTGGGGGAAATTTTTTATTCAAATAATTACACTTAGCATGCTAAGGCCTTTGTTTTGATCACCAGCAGAGGAGGAAGAGGAGAAAGAAGGAGAGAGAAAGGGGAAGGATAGTGCAAGGGATCCAGACACAGGATACTATATTTAGATATCTTATGTAGATAATGTGAACCCAGTTCTTCAATTATACCTATTTCATAGTTTCATGTAAAATGGCCAATGTCCACTCAATTTTCCTAAGTTCTGGTTACTCAGGAGATGACAATAGAGTCAGTAGACCTGTGACATGAGCCCAAATGGCATGAGGAAGAGTAACCAACTCATTATGTTTTTATTTTTACTATTTTTAGTAGCTTGTTCTTTATCCCCTATAAATAGCAAAGTTATTTAGGGTAGATGAGGCAATAAACCTGCGGCTTCTTTCCATTGATACAGCATTACAATTCTTGTTTCCAGAAAAGAACAATTCATAAATTATAAATTAAGAGCAAAATAGAGCTAACAAATAAGTTAGTTTTAAAATTGTGGCTGAATTTGTTTTTCAACTCAAAGTTATTGCTCCTTGCAGCTAACTTGTTCCTTTTTCTTTCTACAATAATAATCCATTCATTTGTTTAAGGAATACTTATGGAATATTTACCAAGGCTACAATGTTGAATAAGACAAAGAAGCTTTTAGCCGGGCGTGATATCACATGCCTGTAATCACTTTCTATTATTGCTCTTAGAAATTAGCACAAATGAATGCTTAAAACTACATATACTTATTATCTTATAATCTTATAGTTTGCTATCTTATAGGTTAGAACTCCAACATGGGTCTCACTGGGCTACAATTGAGGAGTCAGACTTGCATTCCTAGGGGCAGAGTTCATTTCCCAAGGCAGCGTGCATCCTTAGGGCAGAGTCCATTTCCTTGACATTTCCCTGCCTATAGGATACCCACATTCCTTGGTTCGTGGGCCCCTTCCATTTTTTTCAAGCCAGTAATGTTATATCTCTGATCATTCTTCCGTCGCATCTTCTTTTCTGACTAAAACTGGGAAAGCCTCTCCAATTTAAGGGCCCATGTGATTAGTTTAGGCTCACCTGTCTAACATTCCCATCTCTTGATCCTGAATTGAATGCTGTCACGACAATCTGTTGCTTTATAAGGTAACATTCACAAATTCTAGAGGTTAGGACTTGGATATCTTTAGGGATCATTATTCTGCCTAACACCCAACATAGAAAGATTAATATATAACCAACTTTACATTTATATAGGCAAGTTTCTCAAGAATTTTGAAATAAAGGAACAATTACAGTATCCCACAAAAGAGCAATATTATTTTAGAAAGAATAAAGTTTTACATTTATATGTTGTTAATATATTTCTAATGAGATATGGACATTGACATTGAAAAAAATTTAGAACCACAGTTCTTAGTCCATTAATGTTGCTATCACAAAATACTTGAGAGTGCTTTACAAGGAGAAGATAATTATTTTAGTTCACCGTTCTGGAAGCTAGACCAGGTGACCACATCTGGTATCATGACATGGCAGATGCATCCCGATGGCAGGAGCAAGTGTGAAATCACATGGTGAGAGAGGAAACAGTAGAATAAGTCAGGAAACGTGAACGTGGTCTTTTAGGACTCACTGGCATGATAACCAATCCAGTCTCTTGAGACTTAACCCATTTCCTTGAGACAGGCATGAGTCCCTTCTGAGGGTGGCACCCTGATCACATCACACCAGGCCCTACCTCTTAAAGTTCCCACTGTTTCTCAATACCTTTCATTGCCTTGAGGACCAAGGCCTCTAGCATAGGAAACTTTGGGGGACGTGCCATATCCAAACCATAGCCAGCCATAGTCAGCACAATTAATTCTTAGGAACATCGTATTGAATTTAAAAAAACAAAACAAAACCTGGGCCAGAAGACTATCCAAGTATGTGCTTTAGGTCCACAGAGAAGTTTCCTAGGGATTCTATAGCAAATTGTTACACACTGGGTAGCTTTAATGAGTAGAAATGTACTGGCTCATAGTTCTGGAGGCTGGAAGTCCAAGTTGGCAGGGCCATACTCTCCCTGAAGCCTAGGGAAGAATCCTTGCTTGATTCTCCATAGCTTCTAGTGGATATCAGGAAACCTTAGCATTTCTGGGCTTGCAGCTGTATCAGTATAACTTCTGCTTGCACTGTCATATGACTTTCCCTCTCTATCTGTCCAGGTCTCAGCCACAGTGGCCTTGTAAAGACACAGTCACTGGATTTAAGACTCACGACCCTCATTCAGTGTGACCTATCTTAACTTGCTTATGTCTACAAGCACCCTATTTACAAATAAGGCCAATATTTCACATGCTGGAGGTTAGGTTTTCAACATATCTTTTTGGTGGGGACATAGCGCAACCCATAATAGTTTGATTTCCCAGGAAACATATTTAGATTGAGAATCGCTTCCTGTGGCTTTATTGTGGAGTACCCTAGGGAATAACACCTACAAGACAATGAGAGAAGCAGGATTATGCTGAACCAAATTGCATTTATAATGGAGGCCACAGGCAAGCTGGAAAGGCCTTTTGGAGATATCTATAACCGAAATGAGTGGTCTAGGATTTTCTTCTCCTGCATCAGCTACTCACTGGGTGCAGGTTACTCCCCCCCTCCCAGGTCGGGGGAGGAGCGTGCAAAGCATCCCCTCTTGATCAAAGTCAAGGGCCATAAAGGGACACAGCAGGCAGATTGTTGGCAAATGGGATAATGAATGTTTTGGTTCCAGGAGGGGGAGCTGGGTTGCATCCCCCAGCATCTACTACCGTATATGTTTTAAACATAGAACTTAGAAATAAGCAAAACTCAACAATATATTACTTGTATATTTTTGCATGTATGTTTGTGGTAAAAGAATATATAGGGTAGGTTCATGAGTTGGGTGGCAAATGTACAGTTTTTCATTTCATGTGTATGTTTTTTTATAACTAACATGTATTTCATATAATCTGTTGTATGCATTAAGTGTATTCACAAAATAATAAAGAAAAGAAAGAACTAGGCCAAAGTTATAGAAACTAAAGTAGCTAGAATTTTTAGAAAAGAAATATGGGTAAAGATCAAATTCTAGACAGGTGTGGTGATGTACATCTGCAATCCAGCACTTTGGGAAGTTGAGTTAGGAGGATTGCAGGTTAGAGCCCAGCCTGGGCAATTAATGACTTATCAAGACCCGCGTCTTAAAATAAAAAATTTAAAAAGGGCTAAGAATTTGTAGTCCTGTGCAAAGACTGTGGGTTCGATCCTCAGTACTGGAAAAAAAAGAAAAAGAAAAAAAAAAGGATAGCAAATTCTGCCATTGCTAAAGTAAGCATTCAGGTGAAGAAAAACTCCTGAAATGCTCCTATATTATTTACTTTAAATTTGCTTACACAACTACCCTAAAGTTTTGGGTTTTGTTTATTTAGGTCTGGCAATTGATACATTATCATGGTTTCACTTCCCCTTTCACCTATTGTTAAACTGGTTTGTTTGCCATGGTGCAATTTGTGTGTGTTTTTTTTCTTAAAGTGAAAAGTGTCCTGGTTAAGACTGTTGGAATTGTTAGTTCTACTTTGTTTATTGTTAGATCTACTGATACAATAAAGAAAGGTAGTTAGTGTGTCAAGGGTGATACATCAGGGATTATATCAAGATGTATCAGTTGATATGTCAGGATTTCACCATAACATTTTTATTTATTTAAATACTTTATATGTGTGTGATACTGGGGATTGAACTCAAGGCCTCAATCACAATAGGCAAGCTCTCTACCACTGAGCTACATCCTTAGTCCTCATTATGTTTTCTTAATAGTATGTTATTGAGTGAAGAAAAAAGTTGTGGGTTATAAAATCTTTACTTTTAAAAAATATGTGGATGTATGTTGCATATATCACATAGTTGTATACCTACATAGAAGAAGAAATGGGAGAAAACAAATTGCTAGCTATAACTAGTGGGCATAAAAAATGAGGTGGCGTACCTTTTCATTTTATAGACTTCTGTGAGCCCTTGAAACAAAAAATAAGGGTGATATTAAAAATATTTTTAATTGTTTCAAAATAACTGATTTTAGTTTTGTTTGAGAAATATGTTACAGAAGCCTCCATGAAATGTGAGCAAAAGTTTTGTTATTAAGTAGGTGGTAACATAGAAAGAGCCCTGTAGTTTTTAGTGCAAGAGAATTTGTTTCTAGAACTAGGGCCATTGCACTATAGAGATCCTAACCTCCCTCTCCCCCAAAATTCAACTTGAAGAGCTGGTTTCTTGTTTGAAAAATGGGATTGTTACTGTCATGTTTGAATGGGAATAATGTACAGGAAATCACTTTGAAAATTATAATGCAATACTGAATGATAAGAAATGCCAGAATTCTTTTCTTACGGTAACATTATGTTAAAGAAGCCAAATATTAACTTTTTGCAAACCTCCTAATTTCCACTGCTGAAGTTTCTGTTTCATTTAAATTGGTTTTCACTGTAGCTCTTGCTTTTTTTTAAACCTAGGATTGAATATCTGAATTTAAAGTCAAGTTAAAGCTCAATGTTTGGAACTGTGTTTAATTGAAGATGAGACAGAAGACATCAGAACTGTTTGAAATTTTCAAGTTTTACTATACAATAAAATGAAGGATTCAGCTCTTGTCTCAAAGGATTAACCAAGATGGTATTCTTAAAAATTCCTGGCTTCTATGAAATTCTCCAATTACAGAATTTTCTTTCATTACTCTTGAATTCATCATGAAAACCTGCTTTGAAACACAATTTGCTGAAATACTGAAAATGAATTTCAAATTAAATAGGAATAGTTGTATACTAATATGATGCAATGACATTTCACATTTTTCCATGTTAAAAACTGTTCTGAACTCTAAATCTTTTAAATAAATGATACTGAAATCCAAAGTGGTTGTGTCTCAGTATGTTATTTGTATAACTACTGCATATTTCTAGAGGCTCTTCTACTCTCCTTTAGCCTTTTTTTATGCTACCTTCTCTGAGCTAGCTCTGAAGACATGATTTCATAGCCATATTTTTTTAGTTCAAGTCCCCATCATGCATCTCAATCTCTTGTTTGTCCACAGGAAAATTACTTAAATATTTTAAGCCTCAGTTTGGTCATTTGTAAAATGGGACTACTTACCTCATTGAATACCATATACAATGGCTGTCTGGAAATCACTGCTAAATGCTTAAATATTATTTTCCCATTTCACACATATAGATTTTGAATGTTCAGTAGTTAAGTCTACACAAGATCATACAACTAATAAGAGGTGAAATCAGGATCTGGTTCTAGATTACCTGACACCAAAGCTCACAGCTTGATAGTATTGCTTCCTCTCCGGAGAGCTGTAAATGATTCTACGTTTGTCTACCCCTTGTCTATATGTTAAATTTTAGTACAGAATACTGCTGAATAGGAGTGAGCCACTGTTACAGGATCTTGTATGCATTTAAATTTTCAGTGGTTCATAAAATTTATTCAGAGACAAAGGATTATTGTTTACTTCCAACCTGAACTCCGAAGGTTTTATGTAGCATATACTACTTAACTCCGTGGAAACCACTATTTTTTCTTTTAATAGATAAAACAATAACCTAAAAATATGAGGTGTTAAAAATAAATACGATTATTTTTTGTGGTTCTGGGGATTGTATCTAGGGCCTAGTGCATGCTCAGCACATGTTTTACCAATGAACTACATCCCCAGTCCCTAAATATGTACATGTTTAATAAAGATTGTTTTCTGAGACAGGGCCTCACTATGTAGCCCAGGCTGGCCTTGAGTTCATGGTAATCCTCTTGCCTCAGCTTCCCAAATGCTGGGATTATAGGCTAGAGCCACTACACCTGATTTAAAAAAGATTATTGGTTTTTTTTTTTTTTGGTACCAGGGATTGAGCTCAGGACCTTGTGCTTGCAAGGCAGGCAGTGGAACCACTGAGCTAAATCCCCGGCCCTCAAAAAAGATTATCCTTGTAAATTGTATGGGTGGTACCTGGATTTTGTAGAAAAAGACTGGAGACGGGCCGGGGATTTATCTCAGTGGCACTGTGCCTGCCTTCCAAGCGCAAGGTCCTGAGCTCGATCCCCAGTACCAAAAAAAAAAAAAAAAAAGACTGGAGACCAGAATGAGACACTTTCAGACTTCGATATTCCTTTTAGTTAATACATTTAAAATGAATTCTGACAGCAAGGGGCAGTTCATTTCCATGGCACATATCCTTAATTAATTAAAAGAAATTCCTGCATCAGCAATACCTGTCCGCCAGGGTAGCTTCAGAGAGACTCATTAGGTGGCCGATCCCATAGTCCAGGTAGAAATGTTTGTGATTTGGATTAGTTGGTAGTAGTAGAGATGAGGAGAGGTGATCAGTTGGGGTATATTTTGAAGGTGGACTGATCAGATTTGCTAAAGAATTGGATAAAGGGAATGGAATAGAAAAGAATCCACACTGACCTCCAGGTTTTGAGTCTTAGAAAGGGGGTAAATGGTGGGAAAGAAAAAAGGAAGAAGAAGCAGCGGGGGAGGGAGGGAAGGAGAAAGAGAGACAGTGACAGAGGTGGTGGTGGGGGGAATGGAACTCTATTTTTGAATATGCTAAGCTGAGATGCTTGAGATGGGTATTTTACATCTGAGTGGAGCTGTTGAGTAGGCACCTGGACTTCCCAGCAGAAGATGAGCCTGGATGAAGACATTTGGAAGACATCAGCTGCAAGCTAACAGCTGGTATTTAAAACTATGTAAGAGAACTGTAAAGAAGTAAAGAGAGCTGGGATCTGAGCCCACTGAGGGAAAAGCTGAGGGAAAGGAGTAGTGAGACTTTGGCTGAACTGGGAAGGCAGCCCCAGCCAGAAGTATCAAACTCAGTTAAAATATGGTGTCAGCTCTACTCATGGCTGAATTCTGCAAGACAATTGACAGTTTAGGAAGAATACTTCAAGCCTTATGGTTATATCACATTCATCTTGATAAGAGAGTGATACAGGAAATAATACCCTAGATAAAATATGAAATATTATATCTCCCAACCTGTTAGCTGTATGATATGCTAGGCTCTTTTTCTCTTAAAATCGAAGAATGAATTCTAGGAACAACAGAGTTTAAGAGTAGGAAGATATTTATTGATAGGAAAGCTCCTGAGGGGCAGGAGGAATCCTGAGTGGGTAGCCAGGAACACCATTCTATAGGGGAGTTTTTTTTTTTTTGGTACCAGGGATTGAACTCGGGACCTTGTGCTTGCAAGGCAGGCACTGGAACCACTGAGCTAAATCCCGGGCCCTGTAGGGGAATTTTATAGAGTGAAACCCACGTGGGTACAAGGTGGGCCACAGCCATGATCATCTAATCAAGTTACAAGTACAGTCACTTAGGTAATGGTGGTCCAATTGGGAAACAAGTCACGTAACAAGTGTGGATGGAAAGAATGAAGATTCTGCTAGGAAGTGGTGGGTCCAGAGGTCTCTGGTCACCCACTGGGGTGGCTGATGTCTATCTAGACTTCATTAGGCCCAGTGTTTGTTCTTTGAGGAAGTATGCAGGTCTAGTCATCTTGTCTTTATTTTGAGACCTGGTTTCCAACCTATATGTCTCCAGTCGCAGCTGTGGTGGTTTCACCTTTGTCCTGAGCCTCTTGAGGACCTAGCCCTATCTGACTGCCTATAATATTTCTACCTAATTCAGCTGTCTATAATAAGAGGAGAAAAAGTGGGGGAAATAGACAGCAGGGGATAAGGCTCAAAGTAAATATTATAAACTGTGAATTTAGCTTCAAGATAAGTTGAATTGTTTGACCCAGAAGCTCCTAAGTCTTCAATCAGAGTTCCTGAATAAATTTTAGGTCTCTTCTGTGAGTCCAAATCCATGCCAGAAAAGAGAACAGAAGCTTCTGGAGGAAGAGAAAATGTGTGTGAAGCACTTCCTTGCCTTGCACAGTATTTAAACTTACTTTGGAGTCTTTTTCTCTGGAACTTGCCTGAGGCATGGTCCATGCCTCTACTCCATATTTCTGTGTCTCCTTGAAACTCTACTCTCTTCCTCACAAAAACGGGGTGAGGGGCGGAGAAGCAAAAGAAAACTGTCCTAGTCCTTTAAGGCAACTCCCTTTCCATAACTAACTGTTCTACAAGCTGTGTTCCCCTAGTTTGTCATTCATCTGTCTTAATGCCACCCTGCATTAGTTACTTGACTCCCTCAAGCCTATTACTCCAAATCACTGGGAGGCACTTGTTATCATTTGCTCAAGGCAGGTGAGAAACCAAGTACTTAGCTCACTTTTTTCTTTTCTTTCTTCATTCAGAGTCAGGGCTAGAACCCACAACCTCACACGTGCTAGGCAAGCGCTCTGCCACTGAGCTACATCTCCAACCTAGGTCAGGTATTTAGAAGATCAAGGGCTGTAAGGCAAGCTTATGCGAGCGGTGGGGAAGGCATAGACACAAAGATCTGCGAGTGTTTGTCCAGGAAAGTTTATGGGAACGATGACAGCACACTAACACAGAAGTGAGAATAAACACATGGCTCCACTCTCATTACAAACGTCTCATTCATTGGAAGTTTCTCGGATTCCATTGCCTCTTTAAACCTGAGACAAACCAAAGTGGAGCTCACTGGCCAATCGGAGCGCAGCTTTCTACAGTCGCAAGAACAGTCGGAGCCAATGAGAGACCGGGGCGCTTTGGTGGGGGTGAAACCTGCTGCTGGGAGGTGGGGGGGAGAGGACAACGCGGTTGGGCGGGACTGAAGCTTGATTGGCAAGTGAGCGATCGCCCGCCTTAGAGCGGAAGCTCCATCTGGTGCGAGAGCACGGGAGGGGGAGTGGGCGGGGCGATGAAACTGGAGTTAGCCAATGGATGATGCAGCACGCTTAGACGGAAAGGAGAGTCACCATTGTCGGCCCGGATATGGCACCGTGGGCGGGGTTTAGGTGCAAAGTACTCCAGTCGCCGAGTCTGTGAGGGTAGTCCTCCCTGTCACGGTTCGGCTCCTCCTCCTAGCTTCATTCATTATTCCTTTTTTTTTTTTTTTTTTTCCATTCACGGAGGTAGTGAGGCCTAGTCCGAAGCCATGGAGAGCGCGCTCCCAGCTGCCGGTTTCCTGTACTGGTTGGGCGCGGGCACCGTGGCTTACCTGGCCCTGCGCGTCTCGTGCTCGCTCTTCACGGCCTTCTGGCTCTGGGTTGTGGGTAACGAGGCGGGGGTCAGCCTGGAGCTCGGCGAATGGGCAGGTGAGTCGGACGCAGGGCCGGGCCAGGGGCCCCGGAGCGGTCCCGGGCCCAGCGCCAGGCGCCCCGTCCTCCCCCAGCGCCCTCTCCTTCCCGAGAAGCCCGCGTCCCGTGCGCCCGCCGGGCTCCCCGGCCACGCCAAGGCTGCTGAGACCTCGTGTGGAGTCTGGAGGTGCCCAGATGCCTCGCCGGCCGGACTCTGAGAGTCCCGCGTGCAGAGCGGCTTGGTGGACTCGGGAAGTGTGCCTGATCTCCCTGGGGCTGGTGTCGAAGCCATTCCGGGTTCACTTTACTGCCTTAGTCCACCCCTCCTGAGTGCTTTTAAAATAAAGTGAGGACGCCCCCTGTTAAGGAGGAAAAGCACTCTGTTGATTTGTTAGGGGTGAGGAGTGTAGGGACACAGTTTCAGCGATGCCGAATCATGGACTTTGCCTCTTCCAGTTACTTGGAGTCCGCCTATTTGGTATAATTTACAAAGTCACCTTAAAAGAAAATCCTTAGTAAACAATTCTGGAGTCCCAGTGAATAGCACTACTAGAAAGTGCTATTAGATAGAACTGCTGATTCCGCAAAATGATAACTTCATGATACAATCAGAAACGCTTTTTTGCAAAAGGACGTGTGTAGGGAAAAGTATCCCCACAAAGTGAGCTAAATACTCGGATCTTGTTCCATCCAGTCCGAGGGTTTTTAAAAGTGGAGGACAAAGGTCAGATAGGAAACGTTGGGAAAATTACTAGTTTGCTGTTGCTTTTTACCTCCCTTGCCTTTTAAAATCGATTTTCTTATTTTTCCTGCTTTGACTTTGAAAAAAAAAAAGTGACTGCTTATGGTATATTTGTGGCTCTATGATGTGACTATTCATTTTGATGTTTTATAATTGGTCAGCTCTCAAGCATTTTACTGAATTTTGGGGTCTTCATTGGTTGCTTGTAGACTAAGCTCAAGTAAGGTATCCGAATGTTACTCTGTTGTTTACTTTATTTAAAAGCATTTAAATAACTTAGTAGGAAAGGTGCAAACAAGTTAGCTTTTGGGGACAGCAACGTAAACAGGAGAGAATATTTCAAGTAGAAATGGGTATGTGAGATCTTGCATGATTTGAAGCAACTATTGGCATAATACTTTTCACAGTCACTTGTCATATTTTAACAGTCTGAAAGAAAGGTGCTCAGTTTGATTATAACCAAGATCATAGTGTAATTTCAGAAGTGACTCACCCAGGTTCCTTGTCAGATTGGAAAAAGTTGCTTCAGGAATTTGGCAACAGTTACACAAGACAGTAATGTCAGAGAATCAATGAACAAGATAAACATTAGTAATTTGCAAGCAAAGACTAATGTTAATAACTTTTTTTTTTGCTATTTAAATTGACCATAGGGCCCAATAATTCATCTCTATATGACTCCCTATTAAAAGTCAAGGGATGTGACACTCATTTCATAAGTAATTCTTGGATTTAGACGATTTAACCTCAGGGGAAGGATACTTGGTAACCTAGGGAAGGATTTCTATAGGATTTAGAAATGAAATTTGAACTAAAACATTAGTACAGCAGAGAGAGGATCATGGTGTCATTACTGAAGTGAAATATTGTCAAGTTCAATTTACCCTGGGTTATTGGAAAATCTTAAATTTTCAGTGCTTAAGCAGAAGAAGTAATCAAATTATGATTCATAGCATTGCTTACATATGGCCTGGATCTCAAAAGAAAGTGATTCCTTAGTTTTGCCAGATTTAGGGAATCTTTCAAAAACAAAGAAAATAAAGATTAGCACACTTTAGGCAGGTTTTTTTGTATTGGGAGAGTGAACTGAAATGATTTGAAAAACAAACTAGCAGAGGTGACAACTGAATAATTAGGATTAAATCGTGATAAAAATGTTATTTGTTCAACCAGATTTATGATTTCATAATTTTTATATGTAAGTAGTACTAATATAGGAATAATATCAGACTTCCAAATGATATAGGGGAAATATAACTCCCAACCTGCTAGATGTCAGATATGCCAAGTTTGTGTTCCCCAAAATTGAAGAATGAATTCTAAGTAACAATGGAGGTTAAGAGTAGGAAATATTTATTAAGAGATAATAGCACCTGAGAGGCAGGAGGGGTCCCGAATGGGTTGCTGAGGACTCTACTTCACAGAGGAAGTTTTATAAAGCACAACCACTTGGGTACGGAAAGCTATGATGAACCATAAAGGTTACAAGTATAGTTGCTTAGGTAATAGTGATCCAATGTGGAAGTAAGTCATATAGCAAGTGTACATGGAAAGAACACAGAACTTTTCAGGAAGGTGATGGGTCCAAGGGTCTTGTTCTCCTTCTGACGTTACTGATGTCTATCTAGACTTCATTAGACCAGATGTTACCATGTAGCTCGTCCCTTGGGGAAGTATGTAGGCCTGGTCATTTAGTCTTTATCTTTGAGGTCTGGTCTCCAACAGATGCCCCTCTAGCCACGGTTGTAATGTGTTTTCGTCTTTTGCACTGACTGTCTTGAGGGCCTAGCCCTGTCTGACTGCCTATAATATTTCTACCTAACTTAGCTGTCTGTAATATTACTCCCTCTGAAGAGGTGGGAAGGGCATTGCTGTGAGGAGGCAAGGACAATGACTGTTCTTGCTAGTTCAGGCTGAAGGGGGTCATAGTTGTGATCAACAGTCAGAGATACCCTCTGGAGTGTCTTTCTGAAGGCCCTCAATAAATGCTAGGCACTCTCATCTTGGGTAGGTGTGTAGCTTTAAGTCTAGAGGAGACAAGGCCAAACAAACAGTTAAGTATGCATGGGGCAAATACTAAGATCAATAAGACTATTATTAATATTATCAACAAATGTTTCCACTAGGAAGAGCCAGTAATAGTCTCCCAAAAGGGGATAAGGAGATGGTCCAGTGAATTTCAGAATCTGACAGGCCATTAACCTGTTGTTTAATATCTTGAACAGCCATTGAGATATTACAGAAGGATCAGGAATGTACACACAACATTCAGCTTTTATAGTGCACAAGTACCCCCCTTGTGCTGCTGTTAGAATGTCTAATGCCATCTGATTTTGGAGGACATCTTGCCTCATTAATTTTACTTCATTTAGGAAAGAGAGGCCAGTTGAGGTATCATTTAAGGCCCATTGAGTATAGTTAGCCAAGGCCTCAATGTGTTGCATGACATCCTCTGATCCTGGGGAAGGGACAAAGATAGAAGCCAAATGATCATACCAATGAAAGACACTTCTAGACCATCAGTATTGTAGACAAGGTAAGTTTGCAAGTTTGTTGATATTTTTGACACTCCTGCCTTATAACCATGCAAATCCCAATGTGCATCTCCCTATCTATCCAGGGGATAGGCAGGGCCACAAATTGGTTCCATATGATCAATGAGTGCCATTGGTGGCTTCCCATCTAATACCAGGGTGATTAAACCAGTCTGTTGCAAACCAGTCTTTGACCTGTAAAGTTAAGGTGTGTGTGTATACACTGTTCAGGGGATGTCCATCCCAAGTATTTAGTAGGGTTAGGCCAGTGAGAATACGAGTTATTTCTTTGTTAAAAGGGGACCTTTCTACTAACTTGTCCTGTAGTTGGAGTTAACCACATATAATCATCCCATATCTGGAAGTAGCCATCTTGCTATCTATGATTGTTAGTTCTCATGATAGGTCCTTTATTCTTAATAGGATTTTACTAATGCTTATAGAGAGGCTTCAGTGGCATTTTTAGAAAAAATTCGATTATGTGCAGAATCATTGAGGGTGGGGTTTATAGACCACTCAGTTACCTTGTAACAGTGGGCGAAGCTGAACCACTGAACTTTTTTGTGTCTCACCAGTGTAGTCTTGTAGCTTTTTCCAGTCATCTCCTTGGACTGGGGATACCCACCAAGGGAATCCTGATGTACTTGACAAGGGGAGCAGGCCACATATCCAATAAGATGTTTCTGGTAATGACTCTGCCTGTTACTGTGCCCATACTGGAAAGGAATTACACTCATCTTTTAAGTGGTAAAGTAACTAGTAAGGGCTAAGAGTAACATTTCAGATTTCTTATCTAAAGACTTTGTTTTCTTTTTGAACAAGAATTTTAAGTCTTCTGTGGGTTCACAGGAGTATTTGGATGGTTGCTCACACTCAGCGCTAGTCTCTGGTTCCCAGGGCTTGAGTTATCTAGGAGTCCAGTCCTGTTACCTTGACAGCGAAGTCTCTAGACACTTGAGTTATCTACAAAATCACCTAGGCAATCTTTCTTAGCAGCAAGACAAGCTAAGTTTTATTTAAAGTCTACTCTAAAATTTTTTATGTCTCTATCACAGGTTAAAACTTATACCCATCATACAGCAACCACAAATTACATGTTAGTAAAGCCAAATTACATGTTAGTAAAGTCCACTCTAAAATTTTTTGTCTATATTTGTAATACGCTCATGAAACTCACAGGTTTAAACTTACACCCATCTTCCAACAACCACAAATTACATGTTAATAAAGCTACATTTATCAGTTTTCTGCATGCGCATGAAGAGAAAGGCTGACTAAAATCTCTTTTTTCTACTCCTAGTTAGCACAAGTGCAAATTGCTCTTCTGATACCTGTTCTCCTTTGTTAAAGGGAAACTGTAGTTGCAAGTTGCCTTAGCCTGAGACCTCCTGTAGAGAGGTGTGGTTAGTGATAAGGTAGCCAAGGAGTTTTAAAGCTAACTCTCTGAGTTGGAATTAAAAAACAAACAAACAAACAACTTAGGGGAGATGTTTAACTTTGTCCAAGTAAAGATTTGTCAGAGTATCTAGCGAGTTATTATCTTACCTTACTAGCAGAGAGAAAAGTCTAAACTTGTAGCTCAGCTCCAAATGGAGGCCTAAGAGAGAGCTAGAACAGTGTCCTCTCTGGTCACTCTGGGACAGAGGATACCAGACGATCACTGAGAGAGTTGCCTCTCGCTTCACTGAGGAGTGCGGGTAGGGACGATACATAAGTGGAGATTTCTGCTGGTTACCTAGTCC